GTAGATGCCAGGAGGGGTAGTAACTGTCTAGACGTAAGAAGCCTAAGAGGAGCTGATGGAGACACGGATCATTTTCTTGTAAAAGCGAAGATAAGGACAAGAATAGCGTCCAAAAAAACACACAAGAATACACCAACACAATTATGGAATACCGAAGTTCTACGTAATAAGGAGACAGAACAGAAATTTCAAAAGGCTATAAAAATCGCTCTAGCACAGACAGAAAACTATAACAACATAGACTCAGCTTGGAAAAATATCAAAGTAGCTCTGACAAGCGTATCAGATGAAATACTAGGACACAAAAAGAAAACAACAAAAAAATGGTTCGATGATGATTGCCTGAACTCCATATTAGCAAGAAATATGGCTAGAAGGAACATGCTACAAAGCCCCTCGCACAACAACAATGAAATGTATAGACAAAGAAGAACAGAGACAAGAAAACTAATGAAAAGGAAGAAGAGAGAGTATCAGGGAACAAATAATCAGAGAAATAGAAGAAAAAAGAAAGAACAAACAAGCGAGGCAGTTCTTTAAAGGAGTTTCAGATATCAAGACCGGGTACCAAGCAAGAACAGGAAACTTTCTTCAAAACGACAGTGGACAGCTTATCACTGATGACAAGGAAATCTTAAAAACCTGGAAGGAATACTTCTATCAACTATTGAATGACCAATCTAGCAGAAGTACATCAAACATAGAGGTACATACAGCTGAAATAGAAGACCAATACCCGACATACGAAGAAGTAATACAGGCAATTAAAAAACTCAAAAATAATAAGACACCAGGTAGCGATGGTATACCCGCAGAGTGCTTAAAACATGGAGGAGAAGCATTGTACAGTTCGATATACAAGCTAATTCAAGACATTTGGCAAGAAGAAACAATGCCAGATGAATGGAAAGAAGGGGTTATTGTACCAATACACAAAAAAGGAAACAAAAAGCAATGTATTAACTACAGGGGAATAACACTCCTAAACACCACCTACAAAATCCTTGCAAACATCCTGCTAGAAAGAACCAAAACATACACAGAAGAAATTGTTGGAGATTATCAATGCGGATTTAGACCGGGACGCTCTACAATTGACCAGATATTCACAATAAAACAGATAATGGAAAAATGCTGGGAGTTTGATCGTGAGCTTCATCAGATGTTCATAGATTTTAAACAAGCATTTGATAGAGTATGTAGGGACAGACTGTGGACAGCGATGCAGGAACTTGGCTTTCCAAAAAAACTAGTCCGGTTGATACGGATGTGTATGGAACGGTTACGATGTAAGGTGAGAGTTGGACAACAATACTCGGAGACATTTGAAATAAACAATGGACTAAAACAGGGAGATGCACTTTCACCACAACTCTTCAACTTAGCTCTGGAGCACATAATCAGAAGTGCAAGAATCGAAAAACCGAATACAGTATTTCATCGAGAAGGACCAAACTTACTACTGGCATTTGCAGACGATATAGATCTAATAGGAAACACGCGATTAAGGATGAAGGAGACTTTCGTAAGGTTTGAGAAGGAAGCAGAGAAGATGGGGCTCCAAATCAACGAAAACAAGACGAAATATATGTATATGAGCCGCAATAACCAAAGCAGAGACAGAATCGGTCAGAACATTACCATCGATGACTTTAACTTTGAGCGCGTTAGGGAATTCAAGTATCTTGGAACAACAATAACTGAAGACAATAACGGATCACAAGAAATAAACAACAGGATTCAGGCCGGCAACAGATGTATTTTTGCCCTCCAAAACCTTATAAAATCAAAACAACTAACACGACGTACGAAGATACAGGTCTATAAAACAATCATACGACCCGTTGTGATGTATGGAAGCGAAACGTGGACGATGACAAAGGCAAATGAAGAGAGACTACGTGTTTGGGAAAGAAAAATCCTAAGGAAGATCTTTGGTCCGGTGCTTGATGAAACATCAGGACAATATAGGATAAGAACTAATAAAGAGCTTGAAGAACTTTACCCAGACGCCAACATCATAAAAGAAATAAAGTCCAGAAGACTCCAATGGGCAGGACACCTCAGAAGACATTCTGACGAACGAACAGTAAGACTGGTGTGGCAGGAAGTCCCAACTGGAAGGAGACCACGCGGACGCCCTCGTCTCCGGTGGCGAGATAATATAGCAGTAGACCTAAGCACTATGGGCGTGGAGAATTGGATGGAGGTTGCTCAAGACAGAAAACAGTGGAGGCATGTTGTCGAGTCGGCTAAAACCCACGAAGGGTTGTAACGCCATGGAGTAAGTAAGTAAGTAAGTAGTTAGAATGATCCAAAGAACTACGCGCACATCTCTTTTGATTCTAAGCAACGTAACCTCGTTTATTTTGTATGCCTTAAACACTCTCCTTCGTTTTATATGCCACAGAGTGTAATTATATTTGTTAAACTTTTGCGATGTTTATGTTTAAAATAATCATTATCATCATCAGTAGCTCGACAACCTTTTCTGAGTCCTGGCTTGTTCTAGGATTTTCCGCTATTCTGTTCTTTTCTTTGCTTTGTTTTTCCAGTTGGTAATCTTAAGTGTTTTCAGATCTTGTTCCACTTGTTCCAGCGCAGACGTCCGATCTTTATGGATGTTACGATCTCGGGTTCATTGTATACTGTATATAGTTCAAAGTTATATCTTCTGCGCCATATGTCATTTTCTTTTACCGACTTATATACGTGTCTAAGGATTTTTCGTTCAAATGTACCTAATAGGTTCTCATAGCTTTTCGACAGTGTCCACGTCTCTGATCCATATACAAGGGTTTTATCAGGGTCTTGTATATTTTGCATTTGGTTTTTCTTGTGATGTTGTTAGGTCTTAGATGTTTAAGTAGTCCATTATATTATAGTTTATTCGTCTTCCGGGTTTAGACCGTGTCATTTGTGAGTGACCCAAAAGTGGGATCATCTCGACGTTTCGCTACAATTGTATGTAGCTTCTTCAGGAGAACAAAGAAAAAGAAATCAAAAGACAGGAAGATGGGTAGTTAGCAACGGTAACTCAGTTACTCAACGCAACCAGAGGCGAATACTAACTACCAAGATGGGCATTTGGTCACAGTAACTCAACTACTTAACGCAGCCAGAGGTGAAAACCAAATGCCAGGACAGGGATTCACGTCCAACAGCTCAGAACACTAACGCGTCGAGAGGCGGGTAGTGAATCCGACGATTACCCCGCTACCGCTCTATTTATAGTCGCGGTGACCTGTAGTGTCGGGAGGTATCGGCACACTCCGTGGCGCGAACGTCAAGAAGCGCGCGCTGGCCAATCATGTGGCTGCATCGTGGTAGCGGGACCGGACGGCGGCTCTAGACTGAGATTCCAGATGGGAGACAAGTAGTATCCTTCCTCTCGATTGATATTATGTGGATTTTTTCGGATCTCAAGAGATTCGCGGATTTTCCTGGAATAAAAGAAGGGGCTCTTAGAAATAATATGGGTTTTTTCGAACAATATGGAATGACCGGTTTTTTGGCAGTGTTCGGCAACTGCAGAATGGGAGAAAAGACCTGATCGAATGCATCTTTGATGCTCTTGAATCCGAGTTTTGACTGAACGACCAGTTTCGCCAATATACACATGTCCACATGAACAAGGAATAGAATAGACACCACAGAAAGATAGGGGCGGTAATGGGTCCTTAGGAGAGGGTAGATATTGTGAGATTTTCTTGGGTGGTCAAAAAGTAGTCCTGATACCTTCTTTGCGAAGTATTTTGCCAATCCTATCAGTGACACTTCGAATATACGGAAGAAAAGCCACAGGAGTATTACCCGAAGATTCTGAATTTGTCGTCCTAGGGTGTAAAGGGGGATGTAGATGTCGGTGTGTAATATTTTGAATTGTGGACTTGGAGTAACCGTTGGCGACAAGGGTTTTTTGCAGATGGCCAAGTTCTTCTCTAAGGTTGTCAGGTTCAGAAATCGAAATGGCCCGATGGATGAGAGAGTTGATCACAGAATTCTTTTGGGCAGGATGGTGGTGTGATGAAGCATGTAGGTAACGATTCGTGTGAGTCTTTTTTCTATAAACAGAGTGACCCAATCGGCCATTGGGCTTGGAGGTGACTAACACATCGAGAAAGGGAAGGGACCGATTATTTTCTACTTCCATTGTGAATTTTATACTCGGATGTTGTGAGTTAAGATGATCTAGGAAGGGAGAAAGGGTATGTTGAACATGGGGCCAGATGATAAATGTATCATCAACGTAGCGGAACCAGACTTTTGGTTTTAAGGGGTAAGATTCTAGGGCTAAAGACTCAAAGGCTTCCATGAAAATGTCGGCGGGGAGGTTATATTCCGGTTAGCGGTAGCGGAGTAATCGTCGGATTCACTCCCCGCCTCTCGACGCGTTAGTGTTCTGAGCTGTTGGACGTGAATCCCTGTCCTGGCATTTGGTTTTCACCTCTGGCTGCGTTAAGTAGTTGAGTTACTGTGACCAAATTCCCATCTTGGTAGTTAGTATTCGCCTCTGGTTGCGTTGAGTAACTGAGTTACCGTTGCTAACTACCCATCTTCCTGTCTTTTGATTTCTTTTTCTTTGTTCTCCTGAAGAAGCTACATACAATTGTAGCAAAACGTCGAGATGAACCCACTTTTGGGTCACTCACAAATGACACGGTCCAAACCCGGAAGACGAATAAACTATAATTCTGACTCTGGCCGGGGAAGCCTACGATTTCGTTACTCCATTATATGTTTTCCTCTGTAGGGGTATGCACATTTAAGATGCTATATTTAAAAAATGTTCCCCTTAGTCTCAGGATGCACATTCTAGAGTTCATAGCACGATGTTTAAAATAATATTGCCTAATAATATTATTATTATATAATAATATTGCCTAATGCAATATTAATTAGAAATTCCAATTTTGTTATAGCTACCGTGGTTTGTTATTTATGTAAAAGTACTGCCCGATCAACTACTTCTAGATCCTTCTCTAGATATAACTTTGGATATGTTTAATCAAATGATAAATTTATGGGAGGAAAAAACAAAAGCGATCAAATCTTTCGTGGGAGATTCGTATTATTATCCTTTTACGAAGTAAGTATGACTAACTTTATCTTGCCTATCTGGTTTCTTTATTTTTTTATTTGCATTTATTTTTTAGTCCTATAATAAATGAGAAAGTGGAAGATAGAATCTGTGGTTGGGGACCAAGTTTAGAATTTTACTTAAACAAAGACATACATCTTGCCAAAAAGAAATCAGATCTCGTAGATTACTTTAGAAAAAACTATGATACGGCATTTTCTTATCTTCGAAGATATCAGAGCATTCGCGAATTTTACGCCGACGATATTTTGGTAAAGAACAAAGATATCGAGAATGAACGGGGTGAGTCTATTAGAAACTTGTAAAAAATTTCTGTATTGGGTTAAAAATCAATCAGTGAGCGACACCAAAACGTAAGTTCTCATCTTTTATCCTCTTAGTCAACCATCAGCCCTAGATCCAGTCGCGAAGTCATTGATCCATTTTGGATTTAATATTATTATACTTATTTGAAATGTTTATTTTTATGGCTGGCGCGTTTGTTTAACGATGATCCAACTACACTATTCACATCGAAGTGAGTGTGCTATCTAGCAATGTCATCGAGACACCCGTTTTATTATTTATATATTTATTACAGGATCCAACTTGTAAATACAATACATTTTGGAGACGGCTATCGCCGTATTCCCGTTCTCCTCCGCCAATCCTCCTGATCCAAGGCATACTCCTCCTCCAAACCTCTCGATTCCATCGCGTTTCTAATTCCTTCATTCCATGAGCGTCGAGGTTAACCTCTTTTTCTTCTCCCAGGGGGCTTCCATCTGTGAATTTTTTGGGGCCAACGTTCGTCAGGCATTCTCAATAGGTGTCCAAACCATTTTGAACATCTTCTTTCTATTCTGTCAATGACCGTTTCTGTAGCATTCATGTTATTTGATGTTATATAGTAAATAAATACAGACGCCACTCAAGGTCAAGGTTAAGATCAAGGTACGGGTCAAATCAAAGCCTCAATTACTGTCGATTTGGGCGTATTCTCTAATTTTGTTGATGAAAAGTTTATGGAGATATAGACAGAGAAAGCTAAAACTAGAAAAAGAGCAAGCAAGAAACTAGTAGGAAAAGAATAGTTTCACAATTCCAAGCAGAGTAGGTGGATTTTAATTTAATAGTAATTGAAAGGAAAATAAAAATAGAGAGTGCTCTCATATTGTTTTTGCTATTAAACATTTTGGATATTCCTTATCTAATTGATTTGAATGCCTACAATTCTTAGTAAAATACATATTTTTATTGCTTGTCCATTGTAGTTATTGATGTTTTTGTTTAATTTTATTTAGATTTAGAGACCTTTAGAATGTTGTGTACCAGATATCATAATCAAATAAGCACCATTGAAAGTATTCGACCAGCTCAAGAAATGGGAGTTATTTACATTCAGTTAGAGGGCTTTGTGGAAACGTGCTTACCGGAATCCCAGAAACTGCTTAGTATTTTGGAACATACTATTCCTTGGTGAGTTATACCTAATGTATTTCACTGCCAATTAAATTTATTTTAAACATATTTTATAGTCTATTGTAGCCCTCTTTTCATATACGTTATTAAATCATAAGAAGTTAAAAAACATACTTTTTTGTTAAGTGACTAAGCTGAATGCTTAAAATCTTAAAATATAATACCACAGGAAGGAGTATTTGCTCTCTAAACTTTTGGCCAGACTGGAAGAGTCATTAGCATCTACAAGTTTCCCGTTTGCTAATAGCATACTGTTTTCATAGGTATATATAAATATATATATATATATATATATATATATATATATATATATATATATATATATATATATATATATATATAAATATATATATATATATAATATATATATATATATATATATATATATATTATATATATATATATATAGTATTTTTGCCCTTAATTCGACTAGGTTTGTGGCCATTTCAAACTGATGCCTATAAATGTTTTCTTTGAGAAAACCCCAAAAAAAGAAATTATTAGGCGCTAAGTCACCGGATCTAGCGGAACATTTAATTGTACCACGTGTACTTATCAGTCAATCAGGAAACGTTTGATTGAGGAAGTCAATAGGTGCGCTAGAGTTGTGAGCCGAACACCAATCCTGTTGGAAATAAACCTCCTGAAAATTAACGGGAAGGCGTCGAACTGCCGGAATGATCTTATTCTGTAAAAGTTGTAAATATTTGGGCCCGTAAATATATATATATATATATATATATATATATATATATATATATATATATATATATATATATTATATATATATATATATATACATATTAAAAACAGATCGACAAAACAATTTTTGAAGTCTGACCAGTACTGTTATGTACATGTGTATGCAGATCACGACATTGTTTTATTGATCATACAACACAATGGCAATCGCTGTGACATGTTACAAGTTTCCAGGGCCGTTCCTGGCGGGTATGCAATGAATGCCCCGCACGCAGGCGCTAAATTTTAGGGGCGCCAAATATTTGGTTACCATTAAAAAAATATTCTCACTTCTAAAACAAAAAAGTCAGTGTTCAGTATTGCCCCGGTAAGTGCTAAAGCAATCACTTCATCCGTTTACTATTCCCTATTATAGTACCAAAATTACTAATCAAATTACCACCCTACAATTTTATTAGTGTCAGCATACGACGCGCCGTCTGATGCCGCACGATGCTCACTTTTAATGTTTTGTGTTGCCTGCATGCCGCCAGCGTGGTTGTCTTAGGAAAGGAGGCGCGATGCGCCGGCCTCTGACGAAATTGTCGTTTGCGCAGTAAACCGTAACGTTTTAATTCAGTCGTTAGATTTTTCTTATGGGTTAGGATGTTCTGTTCGCAATATCATTGTCATTAAAGTTTATTGTAAATTGTAAGTTTAAGGAGGCAAATAAACTGCTAGAAGTAAGTAAAATAAGTTAACTTAATTATTTAAATAAAATAAAAATAAATAAGTAACTCTAACTGGAGGCACCTTTCTGTTAATATTTCTCGTCATGAAAATAGCATGAAACGTATGAAAAGCGCTCAAAAATGGCACGAGTTAAAATTACGTTTGAGTAAAGAATGTACTATTGATAAAAAGCAACAAAAATATTATGAAATTGAAAAACAGCGATGGCGTGAAATCATTAAAAGAATGATTTGTATTGTGCAGTATTTAGCTGGCCAAAATTTAGCTTTTAGAAGTGACAGTACGAATCTTTATGAGACTAATAATGGCAATTTTTTGAAATTAGTTGAAATGATTGCTAAATTCGATCCAATTATGATGGAACACCTGAGCAATATTCGAAGGTCTAAAGGGTTGTGCCAAAATATGCCTCATTACCTGAGCAATGACTTCCAAAATGAATTGATTCATTTATTATCAAAGAAATATTTAGAAAGAAATTCTGAGTTGCTTCAGAACAGCAAGATATTACTCAATTATTTTGGATGAATCTCCAGATACTAGCCATGTTGAGCAGCTGACGGTCATAATTCGCTTCGTTTATTGTTCTGGTCTAGGTCAGGGTTACGACAATGAGGCAAATATGTTTGGCAAGCATGTGGGCCTTCAGGTTCAAATTCTAAAAATTAATCCAAGAGCAATGTTTTTGCCTTGTTCAGCTCACACTTTTACTTTAAGTGTCAATGATGCAGCTAAAATTTCATATGAGACTGTAGGTTTTTTTTTTAATTATTCAGGTTGTTCAATTTTTTTTCACTTCACCCTACAGATGGCACATTTTAAAAAGGAATGTACCAAACTTAACTTTAAAATCAGTAAGTGAAACACGATGGGAAAGCAGAGTCAAAGCCGTTCGCCCTCTTAGGTTTCAATTCCTCTAAATTTGTAAAAGTTTACACGATTTGGTGGAAGATAATTCAAGAGATATGAACACGAAACATTCAGCAAGGTCACTATTAGACAAAACTAAAACGTTCAAATTCATTTTTTCTATTATAATTTGGCATGATGAATTAACAAAAATTAATATTGTAAGTAAAATGGTCCAGAATCCAAATACAACTTTAAATGAATGCCATACAGAAATAAAAAATCTTATTATTTATTTCACTGAAAAGAGGTCAGACAAACATTTCGAGATTTTCATGAATGAGGCTGTAGCAGAAGCAGAAAAAAGTGATGCAGAGCAAACATTTCCATTATTAAGACAAAGAAAGACGAAGCTTTAATTTTCGTATGAAGGTACACATCAAATAGTATTCGATCCAAAACAAAAATTTAAGATCAGTTTTTATTTTCAAATTTTGGACACAACAATTCAATCCCTACAAAGACGCTTTGGGGGAATAGATAAGTGCCACGATTTATTTGGATTTTTGGGTAATTTTCAAAATCTAGATTCTGATGTGATTAAAAGATCATGTATGGATTTGAATTTAGCTTTACAAATTCAACATGAAGGAAACGTATGCAAAGATATTGATGGTCTTGATTTGCATAATGAAGTTCTGTCATACAAAGTTCTTAACCCAATCACAGACTCTGGCAAAATTTCGGATTCGCCCATAGATATTTTAAATTATATAACAAAGAAAAATTTACAATCCTTGTTTCCAAATCTATTTATAGCCTTGAGAATATTCCTGAAAGGAGTTTTTCAAAGCTAAAGCTCATAAAAAATTATTTAAGAATGTCAATGTGCCAAGAAAGGCTATCAGATTTGGCAGTCATTTCAATTGAAAATAAAATTTGTGAAGCCATTGATCACAATGAAATGATTAATGAGCTTGCATATGTGAAAGCACGACGTGGCATATTATGTATTATTTAATAAAGTTTTTTTTGCATTGAGAGTATCTCCTTTCCGTTATTGTTTCATGTTATATTCCAAAATGCCTTACTAATTTGCGAATTGAGTGTTTTCTTTCTTACTGTTAACTTACATAATAATATTGTTTTAAAATGACCTTTTTTCTTTATTTAATTTTGAAAATAAAACCTTTTTTCAAACATGGTTCGTTTTATTTTTCTTTTTACATTCATATCATATTTTCAATCATATCACAAGAACATGTTATGATATATGTATCTTAAAAACATAATATGGGGGCGCACAAAAAATCCTGCATGCAGGCGCTCACTACCCTAGGAACGGACCTGCAAGTTTCCACCTCTATATTCATTTCACAGTAAGTACGAATTGTCGTAATTGTCACATTGACATTAAAAATTTCAAACGAAGTTCTGAAAGAATAAACAAATAATTAATAAAATACCTATTACGTTGTATACCGTCCAAGAAAAAGTGCAACTTATAATATGGTACTTTCAGGGTCATTCGATACGCGAAGTTATTGATTTATTTATTATT